GGAAGAATCATGGGAGTGATCAAACCACAATCTGCATGTGAATAGGGGCTCTCAGGGGCAAACAGATTATTTCAAGTGCTAGAAAAGGTATTACATATAAATAGAGGAAAAAACAAATGCTGAGCTCCAATCATCTCAAAAGAGCCTGATGCTTCTAACTCCATTTGGCAGGTAGGAGGAGGAGGTCCCTACACTCAGGCCTGCCCACTGGCCCTAATCTCCCAGAGTGGAGGAGGCTGTAGGGCTGGTCCTCTCTTTCTGCTGCAGAGAGGTCCAAGGGAGACATTGGTGAGGCTGGTAGAACAAGGGATGAGGGAGGAGCTGAAGGGCAGATGAAGTCCCTCTGATAGGAAATGATGAGAGGAGGCCCAGAGGACAAAGGAACACACACCTACAACAGAATGTGACCTGTTCCCTCTCCTCATCTGGTCTATTTCTAGGAATGCTGAATGTATGTGGCAGAGAGACACTTGACGTCCTGAGTCCTCACCTGGGGGGCGGGGCGGAGCGTGGGCAGGGAAGACACTGCCAGTGCTGGCTGGCTCCTCACCCAATCAGTTGTATCTGGCCACACCTCCAGGTCCCATGAGCCAACCTGTGGGTGAGTCTAAACCTGTTCCTAACCTTCCTCTCCCTGGGCCTGGAGCAGACACCCCACAGCAGCCCTGCCAAGACAGTGCTCTCCAAGCAAGCAGCATCTCTGCTCAGACATCTTTCTTTTAAGCCTGGATAGATCCCCACACCAGGGCAGCCACTCCTTGCATATTGTGATCTGTCTTCACCCTCAATTCCTTTTCTTTTCAGAAACGGGGGTGGAGGCAGTGATTTCAGAAGAAAAGCAACTGGCAGTTGAAGCAAAGACCGAGTGGCCAGGATGGATGGAAATTTCAACAGCCTTAACTTTTAAAGATAAACTTCGCCCAGAGAACATTCCTCAGCTGCCCTGAGCTCCTGCTGTGCATAGGGCATGACATACCGGCCCAGCTGGACTATCCACTGCATGAAAAAGCACACTACTCACTGCTTCCCCGGGAGAGCATGGCAAGCTTTGACTCTGAAATGGGATTGGGTTTAAGGAAAAGAACAGAGATGAAATTTTTGTCTCCTGAGAAGCTGAGCTCCCACTTGGTCCAAAGGCAAAGTTAAGATTAATGAGCTCATGTGTTATATTTACTGATGAGTTCATTACTCGAAGCTATTGAATACCACCTGTCTGCCTCCTAAAGGATTCCCAGCAGAAGCATGGAAGGCCTCAGTGGGCACCCTCCACCTAACAAGCACAACCACCTCTGCGGAGCAAAGCCCACTTGATGGGGGAGAAGCTACTAGGCCAGGGCTTGGGGTGGGGGGCACCAGCTGTATGGTGGCAGCAAGTGTGAGCATTTTATTTGTAGATCTTCAGCATCTACAATAAGGGGCAGGAGGATTCCTTACTGCCCCATCCCTTCACCTTCTTCAAGCTATTGGGATGAAGCCAGGAGAAAGTCCCAGGGGCTCTTCTCTCCTTCTGATGAATGGCGCTGGTTGAATAAAAGTGGCAGGAAATGGATTACCCCTGAAATTCACTTGGCCCTGGTTCAGGCTAACATCTCATGAGTCAAAGGCAGAATGGAGTGAAGGAGAGAGGCTCCAGTGTTGTCCTACCTACACACTCCACAACTTTGCTTAGCTTGCCTTCCAACATCTAGGGGGGACCCAACTCGGTGGATTTGAGAGCCCCTGGAGTGGCCACCACAGCAACTTCCTGATATTCTCTCTACCCATCAAAGGATTCTTCATCGAGCCCAAAACAGCTCATTTCTTTACCAAGTTCTGTGAACCTCTATTAGACACACCTTGACACCTGGCTTTGATTTTTGAAAGGTGAAAACCACTAAACAGCAGCTAAATTTTGGGAGCGATGCTGGTAACAATTAGAATATATGGCATTGTAATTCACTGGGGAAGTTTTTGGAAAGCTACCTGCCCAAGTCTCTGCGCCAAGGTTATTAGATGGCATAAATTAAGCTCAATTCTCTCTCCTGTCAGGATCACTCACCAACAGGAGGTTACATGCTGGAACTTGTTCCAAATGCTGAGCAGATATTGACCACTGACAGCAGCCAATCGGCTAAACGCATTTCAGCATTAGTGGGAGTGGGCTGCTCTGGATACAGGGAGTGTGGGAATGACTGGTGGGTGGGATGGACCTTATTCTTCTTTTCTTGGTACCCACAGATCTGTTTCCAGAAACTAGTGCAAGTGTCATAAATTTTTGATGACGCTGGTGTTCCAGACACCAAGCTAGGTATGGAGTGAGAAGCGTTCAGGCTGCTGGGGAGAGGCCTGTTCCTAACTTCAGTGCTGAGTAGTGTGAGAGCACAAGGTGGCTGACAGCCCCCACCTTGGCCAGGCTGTCCTCCACACCGCTCACCAGAAACCAGTCGGGGCCTTTCCAGAGAGGGTCAAACAAGGCATGTCCAGAAGGCACAAAAGCACAGGGACCTGAACCTAGCAGCTGAACTGTGACCCAGGTTTTGGTATTATCACTCGATTCTTTTTCCTCTGATTTTAAAAAGTTATATATCAACATTGAATTCACTAACTTGTTCGCATACACATAATCCATACCTAACACTCCCCTTAAGGCCCCACAGTTCAGCTTTATGTAGTTTTAAAAACAATTTCAATACATTTTGGCTAATGACATCTGTGCTTTCGATACCATACAGTGCTTTGGAGGGAGAAGGAGAGATAAAGGGGTAGGAGAATATGATTAAAAGGATGCTGACCCCCCCCGAGAGAAACACCTAATGCAAAAGCTTTTGAAGGTATGATCTGCCTGCCAAATGTGGTTCCACCACAGTCCTTTTCCTGCTGTATCACATGAGCCCATGTCACATGAAGCCCANCTGCCAAATGTGGTTCCATCACAGTCCTTTTCCTGCTGTATCACATGAGCCCATGTCACATGAAGCCCAGGTGATTAGGTCTCCATGAAGCAGTGCCCTGGTGGGGGGTGCAGTGCTCCTTCATAGCTGCCAGAGGTGCTTCTGGTAAATCTGCACAAAATGCTCAAGAATTTGTGTAAGCACTTCTTTGCTCACTGGCACTGAAAAGCAATTTGGGATGAGCCCTTAATTAAACAGGGAGGGGAGAGGAAGCAGCAGCTCTGTCAGCCCTGTTCCATGGCCTGCTGCTCCAGGCCCCTCTCTGCATGCCACTACCTGGCATCTGTCGGGCCATCCTGGATGTGGGAAGAGGGACAGGAGGCCTGACCATAGCAGGAGATACCAGTCAGCACCCTGGCAAGCTGGGCTGGAAGGTCTCCAGAAGGTCTCTGGCAGCTACACTCTGAGTGAAAAAACTATGTAGGCCACACCAGAAAGGGAGAGAGAGAATGTCTGCCTAGACAGCCACAGGGACTGAACCCTGGGGGGCTCATCCCATGACCCTGCCCAAGCCTGTGCTGTGAACAGCAGGAGATGAGGAGAGAGCAGGAGCTTCCCTGACTCTGCCACCATCAGCGACACAAGATTATGGCATGAGGCAAAAACACACAATCCGAGACCTATCTAACCCTCTGTCCCAAAAGGGTCCCATACGAACGAGAAGTGCAGAAGGCAGCATATGTCACTCGCCCTGAAGAGAGGACTGGGGGGGTTCTTGTGGGAAGAGAGGCATTTCAATGGAGGGCGCTCAGGCGCATAAACGAGCCCTCTGAATGCCACCCTCCTGACTCAGACCTGGAGCCTGTGACCCA